TATGCGATTAATTCGTGCGTAATTCAACAAGATTACACCCTCATGTTAACACGATAAATCCGCGCATTAACTTTCACATTAAATGTTGACTACATCCAAAAACGTTCCAACACAACCAAAAGCTAAATGCAATCAAACGTAAACGTTTCTCTATAGTCATAAATTTTCAGTTTCGACTGCATCAGAATGGAATTTAATGAAATCGCGCATCGACACAGTGCAGCGATAACATGCGCGATTTAATTTGATTTAATCGAATTAATTGAATTCCCTTTGCATGGCGTTTAGCTCGCATGAAAGCATTGACAACATCACACATTAAATAATGTGATATTTGTCAATTTCATGAATTGTGATGAATTGGATTACTCAATTTAATGGACGTTCAATTAATTAATTGAGAAATCAAATACAGAATTATTTCATTCAAAATTTTATTCATAATTAAATAATTGAACAATAAAAATATATTATATAGCTACACATATACCACTTAATATTTAGTTTTGGTTTAGTTGAGGGTTGATTATAATTGTCGTGGGGTGCAAAAACCACACCCGCATTAAATTCAATACCGCAATACTTGAGTATGAAGCATATGCAGTTTTTCTTTGCATAGAATCACGTTTCATGAACTTCCGCAAAACGCAATGACTCACTGAGTAACAACACGCTAGAACGGATTGGTTATTCAATCACAATCTATGTATTGTCATCATATACGAATATAAATTTCCACAATAAAAAAATATACCGAGTGTTGCATATTTTTTAAGATTATATAACATAGGTACTTATATTTCTATGTTTAAGAATAATTATGCAAATTATTCTTATATATGTGAATCACTCTATACTCAGTACAATTACAAACATAAAATATTCCTTTATAATTAGTCTGATTATCTTTGTTTTATTAGGACTTAATAACAGACCAGAATTCTTATTAACTCTTAAAAGTTAGATAACGTCAACAATATCGAGTTATGTGGTTTAATTTGTGCCAATTTGTTCGACATCACTAATAAAATCAACAATAGCAAAAGAGATTGCATGATATTTTCATAGATATTCGCTCACGACAGCCACGAGCAAAGCAACGATCTAAGTACGTTAAACTAACAAAAAATGTCATTAGACTTGCATAACAGAACAATAACGTCATCAAGCGTTCGACAAACTTTAAACTTTACCATTCCGAGAATATGAGCACTGATTACAGTGTACAATTAAACGCAAATGGTGAAAATTAAGATAAAATAATATCAGATGTAATTTTAGTTATGGTGTGTGCTAATAAAGTCAAAAGGGAAGTTGAATGCGTTTAAGACTTTTAGTGGCGAACTTATACCTTCATTTGCATGGGTGTTTGTCCATTTGTGAACGCAGTTTTCTACTCTGGCTGGTTAATATTATTGCATGCTAATGATACGCTAATAATGGAAGTTTACAGCGGAGAGTTTGCGAAAGTGCAAACTTTGCACTCGCCTCGTGTCGCCTTTCGTTGCAACAAACGCTTTTTACATGTTTTGCACTCTAAAAGAAGTAGCTTACACTTTCAACAACAATACGCAATGCTGACATAATAAATCTAAGAGTTGAGATTTAATCAAATTTTTATATTAAGAAATTTTACAAAAAAGAAACAACAATAAATTACAAAATTTATAAAAATTGAATTTTTAACAAACAAACATTGGCGAAGAAAGAATCAAACATAATTTGCAAATAAAGTTGCATTTTTCACTACAAAACGAAATTAAACTTGGATTTTTGTTTGCAATTCTCGATTAAAATGTGATTAAAACAAACTTCAATTTAATTTTACACTCCCTCGTAATTAAACACAATTCAGCTTACTTCTGGATATCGTTTTACTATCACCTTTCTATCACTTCCACGATGTAATGCGCAGTTAATGATTACATACTCAAGTTAGGTCTTGCGTTTCATTCCGGCAAACTACACGTTCTTCTCGCCGGAAAAATGATATAAGAATGTGACTTGTCTGCAGCTACTGAATGCTACTCGTACTTTTAATGAGTACTTACGAAGAACAATAGGAAAAAGCTTTCACCAATTTCTTTGGATTTTATTAGCATTTGTTTCCTGATACTCATAGATCAACGTAGACAACGTGACTGATTCTGCATTATGATTGAATTCGCAAAATTATTTCCTTCAACATTTCGAATGTGATTTTTTGTAAATAATAATTTACAAAATGCGGATGTTGCATTTATGCGCATAACCCATTTATTTATAAATCACAGTCGTGAATATAATGAATTATAACATTGTACATGGTCGAATGCGTTGCAAAGTCATTGTATAAAGAATTTAATACGTTAATTATTACCACGATTAGCACATGAACACACGTATTGTTAGTGTGTTTATTTATATCGTAGATATTCAACAAACAATTTCCACGCTGGCGATTCTTGTCGACGCTGCGTGCTGCGTTCTTCAAATATTTATCGGCTCTTTGCACGGTTCAACGTTCAAGCATTTATGTTGATGTTTGATGTTTAATTTACGGTTGAATTGTGTGTGGTAATCACATGTAATCGGACCCTGTGGATATCTGCAATTCATGACGGCAACCATTCTCATTATTCAGCAATTACAAATAAGAGTCGCATTGCTTTTTAGAGTTTTGTAAAACACACAAACAAAAAACGTTTTAACGTGCGTACTGCTAGTTGTATGATATTAGCATGTTGGGGAATGATGTGAAGTTTTAAGTTTTTCGTGCATTTTGTGGCATTGCCTCGCAGGCTTTGAGTTTTATTTAGTTTAACCAATACACGGAAAGAGTTTTATGGATGAATTGGTTTTGCATTATTTTTATTTGCGGTAGAGGAGATTATGTTTTGAAACTTTTGACAAAAATGTTGTTTTTCCCACTTATCAAATGTAATCCAAGGTTTATTTTATCTCGTTATCAAATTTATATTGCTCAAAATTAATGGATTAATGGATTTTATCAAGTTGAAAAAATTGAGTATAGTGTGGGTGTCAAGTATGTTCCGATAAAATAATATAGGTATTTAATTTTGGTTTTCGGTGAATTTACCGCAGTTAATCAACAGTTGCAGATTAGGAAAACTTTCATAGAAAATTTGATAAACTTAAATTTTTCCCTGGCCAATTTTTCTGATTGTATAAAACGTTTAACTCTGCAAAACCTTAAGGCCAATGGCCTGTGTACTTCCAGACACTTGGCTGGTCTATTCCTTCTTCTTGCCTCTACGATTTAAATTTTGTAGAAGACATTGTGATGACGTATACGCTCACGTCATCGTCGCGGAATCTCTGTAATTTAAGTCGGGACATGTCTGAAACACTCAACATACCTCAAGGTCCAAACCGAACCCCAAGCTCGGACCCTTCATAAATCCTCCTTAGTTGCGCCCATCTAGACACACACACATTCATGTATTCAACTAACAGAATGAACAGGTAAAAACCTTCCATCTTCTACTATTTTCACAGTTTCTTTCTTATAACTATCTATTTCCGAAGTATCCACTTGTACCTATAGTTACTTCTCGGTATACCTACAACGAAGACGTTTTATGACTTTTCTTCTAAACTTCAAAATCAACGACTACCGGCAACACGCACTATTGTTGTGTGTTAACGTGACGAGAATAATGCTGCTTTTCGATTAGTAAAATCATGCTCATGGTGTTAACAACAACCCGTACTTACGTAGAATATAAAATACAGAAGATTTTACTTGAATGTGTCATCAATTTCGTGTTTAGCAATACGTGAATCACATTTTTTACTTAACTGCAGAGGTATTTATGGCTTTTAAGATAATTTTATTACGATTAAACAAAAATTATCTCTAGAAATTTTAAAAACGTAACAATTTTTGGTTTTATTTGTTTACAAAAGTTACCATCGCATGTAATCGTGGAAAAGTAAACATGTTAAACAAATATTTGCATTTTCAACATTAATTTATTCTTCAAAGCAACATTAGATTCTCATTATATTCATAAAATTTTTCATTTACAGGATGTTTGGCTTAATAATTGTTTTTTTCTTCGTGTTGCTTTGTAAAGATATGTAATTAAATGTTCACTAATTGACTACGTTTTCTACTGGTAAACCAGGAAATAATATCCACTTTGGATGATTATACTCATCCCTTCGAAATAGTCACGTCTCATAACTCAAAAATATTCATTTCCGCCATTCGCGTCGCATTTCGGTCACACGTTCATTCATATTTTGTTTTTACTACGTTAACTTCACACCCATCATATGTTGCAGTACGTTGCCGGCTCAAAAACATTTCCAAATCGACGATGTTTTATTTTTACTGTTTGTAGTTTTTATATTCACGTTTTACGACTGCGACGACGCTTTCCTGACGTTGCGTCGTGTTTTTCGCTTTTGGGCAATGTGGCATGTGTGCAATATGTTGAATTATCTCGTATCTCGCTGCTTTTTATTTTAAATTTACATTTGTTATGCGCGAGTGCTCGTGCATACTTCCTATATTTCAATATTTACGCTTCGTACAATATTTATAGATGAAATATTTAGGTACCTGTACGTGAATTTCAAAAAACAAAAGAATAAAAAATTTACAAGGGTTTTTCTTCTTCAAAAACATCAAAATTTTTATATTAATAAAATATTAACAGATATAAAGTACCTGTATACTTAAGTACGTATGTCTGTATTCGTACATCGTTCATAACTTTACGTGGCACATTCAGAAAACGGGTTGTAATGGAAATTGTTGGGAAATATCTGAGCCGGTGCATGAATGCGCCGATGCAACCGGGCGAGTAATGGGTCGCTGACCGATGAAATTCGAATCTGGACAAGACATCTTCGAATAAGATGATTCCTCATGACATGCATGAGTTAAAAAACGTGTTTTCCCTTCATTCATAATAACAAAGTAACAAAACAACCAAACAACTTATTCTACTTTAAAAATATTTTATAAATATGAAAATTGTGTAACTTACGATATTTTTAAGTTGTTAGTTGATTAAACCGCGTGAAATATCCAAAAATCCTTGCGTGTTATCACTGTTTGCGTTTCCCAATGTCGCACCGTGCACTAGCTTCCAAATGGTTCGACTTGAACTCGCGTCAAGTCAAGTTTGAAAAACTACACAAAAGTTGACAACTTTATGCGCGAATCGTCACACACTGTTGATCACCCCTAATAATTATTGTTCTCCACGGTTCTTGCTAGGAATGTATATTCTTCCGCCCTTTATAGTAATAATACTATTATTAACTCACGCACTCAGCTCAAACAAGTTGATTTTTTAAAATATCCTGCGTGATTATATTTGATTTATTCAAATTATTTCGGCCGGCCGGCGTAAAGCCGCAGGAAAAACTCCGCGAAGCTCGTGGACGCGTGAAAAGTAAAAACATGCGCACGATCGAAGCGTCGCGCGTCGGGTCGGACGAGCGAATGCTCATCGAAAGCGTTCCAAGCTTCAACCTACAAGTTTCGCGCCGGAGTCGGCCGGAGTCGACAATTTACTCCCCTACCAACATTCGTCGTGCTCATGCTGTTGAATGTACTCATATTCCTGCTGTATGTACGTAAATTGTGCAGTGTGGCAGGTAGAGCAGGTAAAAAAAACAATTTAGAGAAAAATTAAAAAAAATTAAAACGAAAAAAATAATAATTTCGCTCATTTCATGTGTAAGTTTAAGGTTTAAGACGGTTTAAGTGCGTATTACAACTTGGAATTCCATCCGGAGCAAGTCGTTAGACGAGATTCCTCTTGAAGCGTTTTAAATTTTACGATTTGCGTTTTTTTGCCATTCGGATGCATCCTCCTAGAGAAACATGTTCGTTTTTTGTGCTCTAACTAGATTTATGGTCAACTCTCATTACTTTTACTTCTGTTTGGTGAGAAAATGTTTGCCACAATTTATCTGCATATGATTTACATAATTTTAAATATTCTTGGCGTGTTTATTCTAAATTTGGGTAAAAAAAAAACATTTCTGTTGCAAACATAAATTTTGATGAAAGCTCTGGTTATAAAATTGATTAAAATGTTGTTTTTATATCTGGAAATCAGAAGTATTGCAATTTATTAGTCAATTCTTTCCGTGCAAAATCGAGACACATCGCTAGTAATTTATAAAATAAGTTAAATGACATAAAATTGATTTTTCTAAAAATAATTTTTAAATTTGCATTTTAGTCGTAAGTGAAATAACTTATTCACACATAAATATTCCCTTCACGTTGTTATATTATTTAAGTTTCGGATGTAATACAGCCTCGTTAAGCATGCACCACACTATGTATGCAATGCGGATAGTTTTTTAAATTTAAAATGGAAAACTTTTCGATTTCAATTCCTCGCTCGCATCTGCTGCATGATGGAAATAAATCTGTATGCAATGCAACATTTCGTCCCGACTTGCTTGCAATTTTCCTCTGATACATCTTAACATTTTTCCCAGCGTCCGATCTGCGCATAAAACGAGTTTCATATCGCTTTAGATCGATGCAATGTGTCGCGCCATGCCCGAAAAGTTTTTCGTTGTTTCGTGGCACCGCTCATGACGACAAAGCAAGAATATTTTATTTTAAATTTAAATTTATGCCGAAAGCGCCGATGGTCGATGTTATTCGACGTTCGGCGCGGATGTGAAAAGTAAAGTAATTTTAGATGTCGATGAAGCTCATGTTTTACAAATTTTCTTTTCGTGTACGCATGTAGGCGAAAAGCCAAAGAGGCGACAAGTTTATTATCCGCGCGGCGGTATTTAAATTTTGAGCCGACTTTCGAGCAAAAATTGTAGTGAAAGCCTTTCAGTTTGAGATTAAAAGATGATTGATCACAATCGTTTCGAGCCATGGGCTAAAATTTTCAAAAATATTTAACATTCCATCGTATACTTTTTAACTTCATATAAAACCGTAAAGTAGTAAAGAATGTTTGTGACTACATACCTACATTTTTACTTATTTACGCAATCCTGTTATTTCTGGTTGTAGAACATTTTTTGTTGTGGAACGTTATTATGTTGTTTCGGGTTTGATGGTTTTGTGGCGGCACTCGTGCGCAACCCTTTTGCGCGTGTGCTTCTGCTTGTGCTAACACATTTTATTGGTGTTTGTGTTTTGCACGTCCAGTTTCCAGCGCGCTGGTCGTGGCTTTGTTTATCCAAGCCGTACATTAAACGATGGCACGCTCAATTGCCTCCACTTAGAACGCACGCTCGTCGAACGCGCAAAACCAATCTTCATCCATCTAAAACTCGACGCGAATATCCCAAAATCGATCGGCTGCTGCGTCCGGAGAGCAATAGAATTCGGAACGATTTGGCGACAAGAAAATACTCAGTAGTAAAATGTCCAAGGTTCAGAACCAAAAGTACAATTGTCAAATTTTTGAGTGGCGTTGTTGTGCTTTGAAATTTTCTCCTAAAAAAGTGTTTGTCGCACCAAAAAACTTTCTAAGTAAACAAAACAAAAGTTAATTGGCTACATTTAAACATTTTGTCTGCTGTGTATAATTTAAATAAATTGAATCAATTGAATTCTAGGAAAGTCCGATTGTGACAACACATTGATTATATCTATTCAACTATAGGGTAGACTGGGTACGGTTGTACCATTTTTTAGATTTTTGCCTGTAGGCTTAATAGGATTTTACTTAGCCCAATGGTACTTGTCATAGTTTAATGCCTAATCATCTGGCTATGTTTTGCCCATATTTTTAATCCCTCAAAGTTACAAGTACCTTCATAAATCTAAATTTTGTTGTGGGTGAGAAATGGTACAACCGACCTCAGACCTCAGGACGGTTGTACCAGGGGGTGGGGTCGATTGTACCATACAGAAATAAAACTTATTTATTACAATAAACGTATTTATTACAATAAAGAAAACACTTTAAAAATTATACTTAAATGTCCTGCTATGTGTGCAACAATAAAATTAGTTGGAATCACAATTATTGCATACGTAGCTGGGTTCTCCGTCAGTGCATTGCTCATGAGCCCAGTTTTTACACTCAATATACACTCATAGGCATTGATATAAGCGCTATCATCATGTTGGCCTTTTCCTGTTTTGCGAATACGTACTCGTGGCATCTAATATAAAGCAAACGTTTTTACTTTAATTTTACTTTAAAATAATACAAGGCATGGGGTCGTTTATACCGGTACAACTGTCCCCATATTATTTGGTACAACCGTCCCCATGTGGACATTTTCCAAATTATATTTAATTATAAAAAAAATAATAGAGATACAAGAATTTGATTAACATACCTTTATTCTTCAAAAACCATTTATTTTCAATAAACACACACGTATAATATAACACGCAAGACAAGATTTAAAAACTAAAAACAATTCATTATCAAATATTTACTTTTGATCTCAAAAAATCAAAAACACGTCCTACACGCGTGTAACTGGCTTTGTGTGACTCAACTTACAACTTACATACTTCAACTTGTATGCGGCTACTATCACTCCTTGAACGCATAGGGCTGTGCTCAACTGTTCACGAGATATTTGCTTTGGTACTACCGCCCCCCTGGTACTACCGTACCCAGTCTACCCTACCGATTATCTAAAACTTTTATATGCAAATCAAAACTATTCAAACAAATCTCAACAAAACAACAATACCAAACACGAAGCTAAAGCAACCGAAAGAAATTCGTATTCGCACTTGATGTGAGTGTGAATTTATTTATTTAACTATTTAGTTTGATTTGGAAAGTGAAACCGATTATATATGTGAATAGTCTTTGATCGCTCGCAGTTACAAATATTTAAAATACTAGGTTAAGCTTTAACCTACAGCTCCAAGGTAAAGAACAACACTACAAAACAAGAAACACCTTCAGCAAACACTTTACTTTACTCGGTAGTAAATATAAAGAAAAAAATAATCCACTAACATCTATCTAAATGGTTATGAATGCAATGTGAACTAAATATTTTCACGCGTGAATAAAAGTTTGTGTCAATGAACGTTACGACTTGTATTACGACGAGTAGAGTATTACAAGGGCAATTAAAACGAATTAGTTCAATTAACCGACGCTCAAAGTGTTGTAGTGCAGTGCCAAATGACACTCGAAGGTCTGAAATGTCTTTAAATGTACGGAAGTGCTGAAATCTAATGAAACATGAAATGAAATTGTCGAAACGGGGCAAAACTTTACTTCATTGCACTTAATATCAGCGTACTACCACAACAGACAATAACACGATGCAGCAATGTTGATCATGTTGGAGTTTAGTCATTAGGGAACATTTTCAGTAGATATCAGCGCTGGAAACTTTGAAATTGAATTGATTTTAATGCATTCTATGAACATCTAATAGAATATCGATTCAATCAAATAATTTGAATTTATATAAAGGAATTTCTTGAAGGTTAGAATGTTGAAAACACATTTTCTTGCAATTTGCACTTTTTTTAAACTGCACATTGTGAAACGACAACAAATAGAACAAGCACGTTATTATTTCATTCTGGTCTGTGTATTTGTGTAGTTAGTCAGTCAATGTTCACTCTATTCATTGGATTCGTTTTATAACTTTTATTTCATCTTTACTCGACGTGCGGACAAAGGCGATGGCGATTCATGAAGTCATGAATGAAGCCTACGCAGAACGAGACGTAAAAAGTATGAATTGTGCAGTTGCAATGGAATTCTCATTTTCTGATACGTACTGACTCGTGTATATACTCGTACTCGTATCTAGGAGTAAATATAATAATAGTACAATGTAGCGTTGAAGATAATTGTATATACGTCGAGTGCAAAGCTGCGAATAGTTAATAATCTTCAGTCTTAGTCTGTTATTAATAACTAGTTGCGAGTTTTATCCAAGTCACTGTGTTATTGAAGTGATAAATAATGAATTATTAATTGCTTTTGGCGTTTTATAACTTGAGAGTAATTTTAAATTTAAAAATGCAAGTTTTAATGTACTCATAAGTGAATTATGCAAACATTTTATGAGTTTGAGCTGTGGGTTTTGGCGCCTGGCACCCACAACAAACATCTTCATTAATAAATATTTATGATAATAAAATATTACGCAAATTATTCATTAAATAAATAAAATTTATAAAAATTTACCAAGAAAATAGTCAAGGAAAAAATTTCTTTTCCTGCACTATAAGATATACAAGAAAGATTTTGTTTAGTGCATTCAAAAAAATGTTTTACCGCAAATTATCTCGCAAGTGTTTAATCACTTTTTATCTGGTGTGAATGCGTTTATCTGCGCATCCGTTTCCTGCCCGCATATCCATTGTACGCAAAAATGCATGAGCAAGCATCAACCAAAGTTAAATCATTTAAATTTGCATAGACAAGTTCTAGGAAAATCTTATCGGTCATCTTACGTTACCTTGCACCGCACAGTAATTTCAAGTACTTACTATACAAGTATCTACCTAAGTAATAGTGTGGGTACAGTATAAAACATTC